TATATTATATATATATATATATATATATGTTGTTACTATATAAAAGTGCTATTGGAACATTTATTATTGACAAACTTCTCCTTGGTGACTATAAACAGCACAGCAGAACATTATTGAAGTGAAAACAAGTAGAATTATTATATAGAAGTGCTATTGGAACATTTATTATTGACAAAATTCTCCTTGGTGACTATAAACAGCACAGCAGAACATTATTGATGTGAAAACAAGTATTATTATAGTATTATTAAGTATTATTAAAAGAAGAATTATTATATAAAAGTGTTATTGGAACATTTGTTATTGATAAACTTAGAAGATGTAAATTTATTATCTCACAGTTATTACAAGACTGTTTAAGATAAACTTTATCAGAAGCTACCTTATAATGTTATTAAATATATATAACCTTTCTTATAGTTATTTACACTCAACCAAAATGCTATTTTATGAATAAGCCGTTACATATATTATTTTCAGTATTAATTTAAATCTGTTTTCAATATCCTGTTGTTAACAGCGTTTCTTTCAAATCATTTCTGCTGTCACTTCCTGTAGTGCTTCGAAGACGTACGACTTCCCGAACGTCCGCAGTTGCAAAAAGCTTTGTTTTGGTTGAACGTGGTGTTTACCATAGTGTTTACTCTCGAAATGATACTGAAATGGATAGGTATTGGTTTTATAAATTATTTCAGTATTGGCTGGAATATCGTCGATTTTACTGTAGTGCTGGTAAGTTCGCATATTCTTCCATTATACCGCATTATTTGTATGGAATTATTTACGTGTTTAATAAAAAAATATAGGGATTCATAAATTTGTGTAAGTGTTGATAAAAGTTTCTGTTGAAAGTATGGCTATTAGTGTTAGAATATTACAAAAAACATTATAAAAAAAAGCATTTGTTGTAAACAGGGTTCCTTACTAGACTTGGCTTTGGGAGAAAGTCAGTTGTCCAGTCTACGAGCTATCAGAGCACTTCGAGCGTTACGTCCCTTACGGGCTATATCTCGTTGGAAAGGGATGAAAGTACGTGCAAAATAGTCTTTCCGAAACAGTAGTTACATAATTTTTCAGTAATTCTAATTTTAAATGTTTCTTACTGATTACCCAGATTGAGATAACATTATTTTTATTGAACTGTATATTTTTATTCTTTGTAATTAACAACATTTGGACAATTAAAATTATGTATTGTATTTTGATCATCTTGGTTATCAGTCGTCTTTGTGTTTCAGAATATGCTCTATGTGTAACTGATATTCTTTCAGTGGTAGCTTAGGGAAGTTATGGACACTTTCTTTTAATTCCACATCCAGGTTGTCGTAACTTCGCTGTTATCAGCCATCCCTTCCATTTTAAATGTGCTGCTCGTCTGTCTACTATTTTGGTTAATATTCTGTATCATAGGGGTTCAGATTTTTGCTGGTTTATTCTACAAATGCGTCAATAAGGACGGAGAACGTTTGCAAATATCCGAGGTTAACAACAAAACAGAATGTTTAGCTAAGAATTACTCCTGGGTGAATTCCAAGGTGAACTTTGATAATGTACCAAATGGATATCTAGCTCTTTATCAAGTGGTAAGTTTTTATATATATGCTCTTCCATACCCTGATGTATACATATAATTCGTTAAAACGAGGCGTTTTTTGATGTCAAAATATATTATTAGGCTTTAGATTTCAAAATCCTAATATAACAACGAGCAACACCCTCCAACTATTTCAATTATTTTTTTATGTATTATCGTAGGCCCATAGTAACAGATCTGGCAATACACTCATTCATACTCTTTCATTATGCCTTACTACAAAAATACAAGGGCAATCATAAGTTCTCGATACATTATATGGATAATCAGCCATGAGGAGTGGGTGACATATCCCATATCCATTACTTTGGGCCTATAATTGCATAATGGCTCTTTAGGTAGTGGAAAAAGGATTACACTTTTTTTTGTCTTTTTCAAGTTTCAATAACTTTTGTGTATGCTTATCAAACCATGTAAATCAGGTGTGACTTTTATTTTTCCGTTTTGTACATCTGTATATATTTGAAATTCACCCAAATACTAGATGACTTTGTTCATGTTACAGCTACAAGATGTACCACGTTAACACCATACGTAAATTTTATCTAGTTTCATTAGCCGTTTGATTTTAGTAAACTATTATTATCATTACTTTTTTGAGCCAAAATTTGAGAGTTTTTTAAATTATACTTTTGGTAAAACTAGTGTGTGTGAATAATTGATTCTGTTTCAGGCGCTTTTTGAAGGGTGGATGGAAATCATGGAAGATGCCATCGATATCAGGGGGAAGAACCTACAACCTGAAAAGGAAGCCAACTTCATTGCTTATCTGTATTTTGTGGTTTATATCCTGTTTGGTTCATTTTTTATCCTCAATCTCTTCATCGGTGTCATCATAGATACCTTTAATGTCATGAAGAAAAAGGTATGAATTTATACTGCTTTAATAGACAATAATGCAAAGCTGGCGTACAAAATAAGACGCATATCAGTCGTACATATACTTAGTTTATCAATGATAAATTTAATTACATTTACAAAAGCAGTTCTAATGAATAAGTTTTTAATTTATTATATTTGACTTTGTTTAATGCAATCTGGAGTTTATTACGAGACTCTTTATAAACGTAAATAAAATAACGACCTATATCAGTAGGATATCAATAGCTCCTGACGAAGCTGTAATATCGAAATACTGAGCTAATATAGTTACATTCTGGATATATAGATCGTTATTTTACCTACGTTTATAAAAAAATTTTAATTTGTTCATAAGTACTGCTTTTAATGAATGGATGAGAATCATCCGCAGAAAGGTACAATTTGATGCTTTTTTATTGATTTATACTACAGTATACATATAATTAATAAGTAAAAATGGAGGTAAGGTTGAGAAGTTCATTATCTGTTTACAGCTAAACTTACTAGTTTCTTACAGCTTTATATGCATATCTATATAAATATAGTAGTACTGTTTTTTGTATGTCCATGTAACTACTTCGCAGGGTGCGGGTGGATCTTTACCAACATTGGTATGTAGTCCATGCGGAGGTATATACAAAAAATTTTCAATTTTGTGTTTTGCGGTTTTTATGGGTGTTTTGCATTTTTTTACCACTACTTCGCCTCCTATTGATGGATCTTCGCCAAATTTGGTATGAAGGTTTGTTGGGTCCATGCGGAAATACATGCAAACTTGGGGCTTCATATTTTATGTTTTGCAGTTTTTATGGGCGATTTTTACAATTACATATAAGGGAAGCAACTTTCATATCCTAAGATAACCTTTCATTAATCAAGAATTTATGTAACTCCAGCTAGTATTATAATATATAAACAAATTGATATAGTAAACTGGCGTATGGACAGTACGATGTATCGCTTACAATATATTACTGGTGAAGATCCATCAACAGGGAAGGGGTTCGTGGCAAAAACGCCCATAAAAACCGCAAAACACAAAATGCAAGCTGATAATTTGTATGTACTCCCGCATGGACCTAATGAACCTCCATACCAAATATGATGAAGGTCCATCCACATCCTGCGAACTCTTGGGCTACTCTTTTACCAACGAATGGTGGGAGTGACCGTCACATTATAACGCCCCCACGGCTGAAAGGGCGAGCATGTTTGGTGTGACGGAGATTCGAACCCGCGACCCTCCGATTGCGAGTCGAGCGCCCTAGCCACCTGGCCATGCCGGGCCAACCCCCGAGAAGGAAAGAAGTCAGTCATTTCTTCTCGCTTAGATATAAAATCATCATTTTTAATGCAAATGCTACGTAAATGTAAAAACTGTGAGTAAGGAATTCAACGTAAAGTGGTGGTGGGAGGGGGGTGAGACCAATCAAAATGTAAGTAAGAATGAGAGTTCGTATGCTTATAATGAACAGTAGTGGATAGTTTGTTATTTTCAGTTATGATTTCTATTGTCAAGAAATGACAGACAGCTGGTAGAAATGTGCCAGGTGAAGCTTAAAAAAGGCTGAAAGATAATTAATAAAGTAGTCAAGTTCAGTTCTATTACCAGTAAATATGACGAAAATGTTGTCAATATATATGGCGTATAAATTGGGAATTTTTCCTGGAAACTGGAAAAAAAATTGATTTTTTGTATAACCAACAAATAGGTTTGCGTATGAAAGACCCATCCTGGTTCCCACGGCAACACCACATAATTGTTTATAATCAGTGTCATTAAAATTCAATATATTCAGATTTATTACAAGTTCAGTAAGTTGTAAAATTGTATCAGTATGAGTGTATCTCGTCTGTCAAGGAAGAACTTGAGGGCCTGTAAACCTTCAGTGTGAGGAATAACGGTGTGAAGAAGTATGTTACTAGTGAAGATCAAGACAGAAGACTTTGTCAATTAACTGAAGATAATGTGTGGTGCCTTTAAGAAGGAAAATTTTATACGATGGGAGAAAGAATAATGTCAATAAAATGATGGACTATAATTAGCCTGAAATTAAAGCTAAGCCTCAAATAAATTAATCAACCATTACACTTTCTACCATAAGCCGACGTCAAATGTTTCTTATTTAGGCCTACTGATGTCGTCGTTCCCGCTTTTAAAGACTCGTGAGTTTTCTCCGACCTGAACAGATGCTTTTGATCAATTCTCTGTGACAAGGATGATTTACATGGAGTTACTTATCATTTTGGTTTGATAAATATACTGCTTTTTTCAACAGTTGCATTGAGGTTTTTACAATATGCTCGTGTTGTACACACAGAAAAGAAAATCGAAAAGAAATTTATATACGCAATATAATACCACTGTTTGTTGTACATGATTTGTGGACCTTGCAGACTGATATTAACCATGATCTTAACATCCTTGCTAAATAGTATCAAGGTAACAAATTAATTCTACATTTTGATAAACTGTGTATTTAATTCTTAAAACATTTAAGAGAAAACTGAATACTTAAGTTTCCATTTCATGTAATAATTTTATTATTCAAGACTTATCAGAAATTTCAGATTTAGGTCTTTCTGGGAAATATCACTTAATAAAACCGATTTTGTAGTAACATCGCTAAATTCTGCCTATCTTTACCGTTAATTAAACTAAAAACTCTATGCAACAGCTTTGTGTATCCTCATTTTATATATCTCATTGAATTTTGAGCAGTGCAATCGAGAAGAATATAAATCAAATATTAATGTATCAAAAGAAATTTGTATGTATTGTTACTATTTCAGATTTTCATGAACGCATTAAACCTCTTTTGTTTACTACAAAATAATGGAAATTTATATAAAGTATACGTTTGCACGTATTGATATTGGCATATAACTGGTAAAGGGCACGACATGGCTAGGTGGTTAGTGTGCTTGACTCGCAATCTGAGGGTCGCGAGTTCGAATCCCCGTCCCACCAAAAATGCTCGCCCTTCCACCCTTGGAAGCGTTATAAAGTGAAGGTTAAACCCACTATTCGTTGGTGAAAGAGTAGCTCAAGAGTTGGCGGTGGGTGGTGATGACTAGCTGCCTTCCCTCTAGTCTTTTACTGCTAAATTATGGACGGCTAGCGCAAATAACCCTCGTGTAGCTTTGCCAATTAATAGTAGTAGTTGAAATAATTTAAATAAAACCATTAAAGACTCAAAATCTTTATAGAGGATATTTTGTTTCAGAAATATGTTAGTTCTTCATGGAATTTATAAATCATATTAAACTCATTTTTGTTTAACTTTAATTACCTTATTTTATCTGTTCAATTGTTAATATTACATATGTTTTGTTTGGGCCTGTGACTCAGCTCTGTTGATTTGTGTAGACATTCGCCTAAAGTGCAGATAGTAACGTTGTAGTGTCTGAATGTACATGACTTGTCATTGTTATTACATTTTGTTGTTTTCGTTGAGTAAAGTTAGAATAAGTATCCTGAATCTCTTTCTCAAACTACATGATTTCACTATTGGTGCTAATTGCTGCGCATGCCCTGTACATAGAAAATACCACATGAGCGTGTTAAACAGTTTGAAAATAATTAATACAAATTCATTTTAAATCCCGAATTTAAAATGTTTATTCAATATTTTTCCTCTAATCAGGAACAATGTGTTTGGCCAAAATCAGCACGTTTCAATTACAGTAAAGAAGTAACTATGAAATATGTATAGACTTTTTTATGTTTTTATATGTTACTAGTTTGAAAAAGGATTGGCCGAGTTGATGATGTCCGATGTCCAGCGAAGTTTTTACCATTGTATGATAAAATTTGGGAAACGGAAACCTCAAAAGATGGTTCAACAGCCTAAAAACATCATCGGAGCTCACTGCTACGTCATTGCTCGCGGAAGATGGTGAGTGTTTTCAAATGTTGCTGCTTTACATGTATGTATATATTATATTTAAAAAATCAGTCTATAGCACTGTTAGCCTTTGTATATTAACGTGCAGGTTAAAATAAAATAAAATGGACAAATTAATATCTGTCATAATTAAAAATACTTAGGCATGTGAGAAGTGATACTATTGGTATCATTGTTTTTATTCTTCTTCAATTATCAAAAGTATAACTATAATAAGTAACTTAGTTTTTGATTTTTTTTCGTGCAAGTAAGACTAACCTTACCCCGTAAAATAAATTGTTTCAATTGTATAATCTTTGAACAACGAAGGAATCAAATTAGTCAGCCAAGTGAAGCCTATGTGGACGAGCCACTATATACAAAGTGATCGAAAAATAAAATCCTATATTTATTATGATTAAAACTGTTTGACCTTCCTAGAAGAACTGAATTTTACAAAAGGCATACTGAGAACCATCAGTTTTGTTCATGAATGGTACAGAATGTTTCAAAAGATGTTTAATGTGCTTTTTGCCATTCTCAATCAGCATATCAAGATAATCGTTAATAAAGCTACTGTAAACCTAATCTTTTCTGTATAATGCTCATTGATCCAAACTAACACGTACTGTACTCAAATCACCAATCTCATGTTGTTGAAGGAAACAGAAAAGCAATTCTGTAGTTTGTGAGAAAAGCGAATTAAGCATAAACTGTAATAAGGTTTTAATACGTTCTGAGCAAAATTTATGACTCACAGCGTGAGTTTTAAAATATAATTCTTTAAGTACGAGGAGTTATTTATAATCATTCTGTAGTTTGAAAGTGTTATCATGGATTTAGTAGTTATGAAACTTTCAAAATTGAAATTCTTTATGCTCTCTCAAATTAAGTAATATAGTGTTTATACTAACCATATTTATATTTAATGTTGCTTAAATATTATGAATAACTAAAATGACAAAGCAAACAAGATGCAACTTTTTAGACCATCTGTCAAAAGAACACAGTTTGCATTTTAAAGACTTTAAGTGTTTTATAAATAGATAGAGACGATTTTCTTCTTATCTTGGCTTGGTGAGTAGGCTGATACGGAATATTGACAGTCTTTTCTTACGTTATTCTTGACTATTTTCTTATTATCTTGACTTGGTGAGTAGGCTGATACGGAATATTGACAGTCTTTTCTTACGTTATTCTTGATTATTTTCTTCTTATCTTG